GTGCCGCCGCCAGGAAGAAACGGAGTAAGTCCTTCTTAACTGAAGCCAGGGAGCCAGGCAGAATCGAGAGGAGTGCTATTTTAGGGGACGGTGTTAGGTCGGTTCCCATGACCTGGTTGTAGATGTGGAAGACCCGTGTCCACAGGGGTGTCAGTGAGGGGCAGCTCCACCATATGTGTAGGAGGGTTCCCTCCGCGCCCAGACACCTCCAGCACGAGGGAGATCTATCAGGGAATATTCTATGTAAGAGGGTCGGGCAGCGATACCAGCGGGTCAGGATTTTATAGCCCTTTTCCTGGGCTGAGCTAGCCACTGAAAGTTTATGAGTGACCACACATGCTGTTCGGATTTCCTCATCGGTAAGTATGACATCCAGGTCTGATTCCCATTTTGCCATGAACGGGAGACGACCCTGGAATCTCATTGCAAGTAGTTGACGGTACAGTAGGGAGATAACATGAGCAGGTGGATCTTTCTGACAACAGAGTGAGTCAAACCAGGTAAGGGGGCTTTGCAGGGTGGTCTGGTCTCTCCTAGCGGTATAAAATGCTCGTAGCTGAAGGTAGAGCAGCCACGTTCCAGGCGTATGCGGACGCACTGCAAGTAAAGTAGCCAGGGGTTTCAGGTGCGGTCCTGTGAGGGCCTCGGCCAGGGGCGATGGTGCCGCGGAGGACCAGCAGAGGAAACTGGATGAGATACATCCCGGCTGAAATGCCGGATTGCCCATTATGGGGGTCATGGGTCCGCCAGGGGAAGACAAGTCATGCGTCTTGGTCAGAAGGTTCCATACTTTCAGGAGAGGTGGGAGAGCAAAGGGAAGCGTAGAGGAGTGGGGGCGGTGGGCAGGAGCAAGCCAAGGTACTGAGAAGGGGAGCACCGGTGAGATTTGCGCTTCCAGGGTAACCCAGAGCTTATGAGCTCCATCCATTACTTTCATGATTTAATGCTACGCACTTTCCATTCTGCATTTAACCACACAGTATATGTGACATGAAGTTCGGAGAAGTGAAGGTTAGAGAGCTGGGGCCAGCTAATTACAAAATATGATGACTGTAAGAGTTTGGGTAAAAATTTAAAGAAATACTTTGCTGCGCAATGTATATTTGTTTGATCTGGATTTATTATTAAAAAAAGATTTGAGAGTTTATTACTACTTTGAAGAGCTGTATATGTAACATACTCAATTTGCCAAGTAACAAGTCTGTATATGGGGAAATTTGTATATCTTATAATGAAAAAAAATAAATCTGCATTTCTTTAACTGAAAAGGAACCTTGGCCATACAGCTGATGGCTGACAATTATAGGTGGAGTAATATATTATGTGTAGAATTTTGAAATCAACATATAGGGGCCGAGCGGCAGTGAGTGAATAGCCGAATGCCGTTGAGTGGCATTCGGCTCGGCTATTCTGCTCGGTATCTCCGTGATACCGAGCAGAATAGCAATTCAATGAAAAGAGTGGGGGGGAAAATTAAGTTGAAAAAATATTTTAGTTTTTTTTTTTTCTTTAATTGTATTACAGTATATCACTGCCATCTGATATGATAGGATCTGAGTTCAGTGAGTGCTAGTACTAGTGAAATGTGTCGCTGGTCAAAATATTAACTCCTATCAGTATACTTTGATTTAAAAATGTTCTTATACAATCTTGGTTTAGTTAATTTTAAATTATTGTTCTTTTTGTGCTGTCTTTCCGGACCCCACCTCATGTAAGTATCAAGTGTATGTCTTTCTTTTGCTTTGTTAATCACTATTGTGTATTTCTAGTAAAATGACCCCTGTACAATGGTTACAATCACTTGAACCAAACTTGTGTACTGGTTGTTGTCTGTGGTCACAGGACCCTGGCAGATATATAAGCTTTTCATTCCACACAGCCATATTGCTGTTGCAATACTAGAATAGTTACAGATTACAAAACTTATTTTATGATATAAATGTCTCTACTTTCTGAAAGATAAACTAATGATACTGATACACATTTATAGTACTGTAGCAGAAAAGAGCAGAGTGAGGCTCCGTTCACACCTACGCATATACGTGCGGAAATGCACAAAACACAAAAACCCCATACATTTTAATGCATCCTGCACACGTGCACGTCATACGCACAGCACAAAAACGCGCTTTGCACAAAAATGTTCTGGGCGACTTCCGCAGCTTTGTTTTTGTTCTGTCCGCTTTAATGCGCGAGAAACCGCGCTGAAAACAAAACGTGATGTGTGAATGGAGCCAAAGTTTTCAGCAGGATTGAAGTGATATAGAAAGTTAGGTTAAAAGAGAACATCAGCTCATGCAAGAATAACCCAATCTTAATATTGCTGCACAGGGTAGTACAGGAGACTATGACGGAGACAGGTACTTAAGCCGGCTCTTTATAAATATGCATATAATGTGTTTTTTTTCATGACGAATACATAATTTTATTTAGATTTATTTTTCTATCCATCTGGAGTTTTATATGACCTTTAACTTATTCATTAAGAGACATAGCAATGTAGATTTATAACCTGTGGGTATACTGCCCCTGACAGCAGGATTGGACACTATGCAAAAGCAAAAAAAAAAGGACCAGCTCCCTCTAGTGGCTACACACTTGTACATGCTATACAGAACAATTTAGATTACTGTCCTAAGGAGGCAGGGCATCTCTCTTTATATTCCATGAATTATTAAATATCG